TATCTTCTGAAAGATCCCCCATCACCCGCAGTCTAACTGAGTCATCTCTCTATAAATGTATTTGTTTAAAGTCTTTCAGGGAGGTAGAGAACAACTGCATCTTGCAGTATCAGACCCCTGAAGACAGTCTCAGCTTGATTTCTGCCCAATACTGCCCAAATAAAATTATATTTAAAAAATATTTCTAGCCTTTTTCTCACACGGATCATTCAAAATTCACAACATATCTTACTCATGGGAAAGAGAGGTAAGAAATAAGGCTCCTATTCATTTTTTCTTCAGCACCAACGGGCATTTTTCTGAGCTTGCATTAGTATAGAGAAAGAGAGGTTAAGTAGTGAGATGAATCCCTCTCCACCACTATTTTCCTCCTAACAACACTGCACTTTCAGCTGAAAACTTGAAAAATGGAGTGCCAAAACATGTTCTGAATAGTTTACTCACTTTTCCCATTATTGTTGTTTATAACATTTTACACATTTCAAATGGCTTTCATTAAATAGCCATTATTGCAGAATTATTTTTATATCATCTCGATCGATACTCCTGTCCTTCCTTTGTGCTCAACTGCCAAAATTTACTTTGCTGCCAAAATGTCAGTAAGCATTAATTACATTACAATTATACCTCAGAGTTTTATTTACTTCTATCCATCTGATTTTCAGTTCTTCCATATTTGCAGAGGAAGGAGAGAATAATAAAATGTGAGACTCAGGAAGGAAACCCAATTATAGTGTAGATGCTTTGCAAGTTTCCACAAGCTTTAAGGCACTGCAACACACAACTCTTCTAATCCAAGCATCTCATGAATGCATCAAAACATTTTTCTGGTCATACAGAAAACTGCTCATTTAAATGACATTCACAAATGGATTTAAAAGCAATGGCCTGTGGATACTTTCTGAATAGTTTTGCTCTTCATCAGAAACATTTTTGCAAGGAAACTTCATAATAAGCTTACATGCCATGTTCCCCTAAAAGAAAAAATTAGGCTATTTTGGGGATATTTTGATTTTAAGGAGTTCACTTTTTTTCCCCCAGACACCTCAATTCAACTGAAGATGACCTATAAAAGTACAAGCCTTATGAAAATGCTGCTTTTTCTATATCCACTCATTATCTAAATCAAAACCTGGACCCACCTGCCAGATAAAAAAACCTGGATGAAATAACATCTGCATTTATAGCCCTCTGTAAATTGTTTTGTTATTTTAAGTCACCATTTCAAAGCCGATGTAAAGACTTCAGGTATCCACACGCATTCAGCTTGAAGGAACTTTATGATTACATACACATAACCACATATCAGACTGCTACATTTGATTTATACAGAATGAAAATGCATTTGTCTCTCGTAGTCTGCTATTCTTAATAACTATAATAGATTTAGCATGTTTCAAAAATTTATTTAAAGGGAAAAAAACCTAAAATGACTGCCACACACACTACACCAGGTATCAGCTGCATTTGGGAAGAAAAGGAATTAAGAAGAGGAAATATGAATCAAGATACATTTGAAACTTGATATAAATGAAGGAACAGAAGAAAGTTCAGCTGATGAAAATGTTAAGCAAAGATGAAAAATGAAGCAAAAGCAGAAAGGAAAGATTCAACCACTGCTTGTTCAAAAAGCGAACTGTAGAATTCAGCAGCCGAGGCAGAAAACCAAAAACAGAGAGTTGTCACATCTAATATTGGAACATGTCAAAGGGACAAAGATCTTCAGCAGTCTGCTTAAAGGAAGGAAACTTAAACAAAGACGGGAATTAAATAATTAGCATTACTGCAGAAAGGACAGGCCAGATAACAAGAGTTCATATTACAACATGATGTATTTTGGCCCACAGTGTAGCACAGAGGATTTAAAAAGAAGCAATGACAGTCACAAGTGATGGATTTAAGACTTTGTATAAAGGGTTCTGCTGAATACCAGCAAAGGGATATATAAGATGGGATTAAAGTATGTGACTTTGAAAAGCTCCTCTTTCAATGACACAAGAAAGGGCACTAAGACATCCATACTTACACAAAATCCAAAGTAATGAAAATAAAGTCTCTTAGTCTTTTTACTACTCTCATATCCTTTACTGGTAACACACTTGAATATTCATCTTTTGGGTTTCACCCTCTCCCTCCAAATGAGGGTAAGAAATAACTTAAACCACTTGCCTGTCAGGCTTACCTAAACAACCAAACTTTTAATAGCAAATTCAGACAATCATCAGGCATCTGATAGGCTTCTGCAGCATAGTCATGATGCAGACTTGCATAGTTCTCCTTTCCTGTCACTGAGATGTAAGCCAAAGATTCAAACGCAGCTAGTATCTGCAGCTGAGCGATTATCTTTTGGGAAGGGAAACCTTATGAGGTGGGAGAATTTTTATATACCATTAGGAAGTCACTATGAAAATGGCCATGTAACTCACTTTTACTGTGAGACAGTTCAAATTTTCCTCTGTCATTCTTTTGTCAATGAAGGACAGATGACTTGTCCCAACAACAACACAATAAATTCCAAAAACATTAGTGAAAAAACAATGGCTGAAATGGCTAAAATAATGTTTATCTATGACACTTATCTGTGATTTCTGAATTATGCCATAGAACTTCCCCCACAGTGTGAATTTTAAAGTTTACATTTTCTGGTAATGAAAAAATTGAGTAGCATCTTCTCCACCTAGTAACTATGTAGCTTCTTCATAGATCACTGGAAGAAGGCATCATCTGATCACTGGACCAAGCTTAAGATGACCCAAGAGAAAAGAGGCATGCCTGCCTCTCCTTGAATGAAACAAAAGAGCAGGGCTTAGCATATTTTCCCTGTAATTACCACTACAGCTGTTTCCTAAGCAGCAACAGTTCACTGTCAAGAATCCCAAACATAAATGGTTGACTTAGTAATAAGGAAGAGCAAGAGAATCAATCTTTATGTCAGCCTTACCTTATATAGCCTGTATTAATTAACACATGAAATGAATTGGTATCCTGAATGCCTTTTGGACTCTGGAGAGGGGTTCATCTTTAACCACAAGGTTAGTGAGACAGTGGGAAGGCAAATGATGTTCTGCCAGAGTAAAAGCTATTGTCTTCCTGCCCCTCCTTTCTTTGCAAGTTTCATCTCATTTAAATTTGGATGTTAGGATTCTAAACTGTTATAAGACTATTTCAAAAATTAAATAACAATCAGGTACCTGAATACTTCATTATATACAGAAAATTTACATATGAAATATTTTTCACCTCAAACTGTGAAGTTTCAAATAAAAAATCTGAACAATGTCAGATGTGTGTCAGTCATACAATGACTGAATGACAGTCCTTTATACTAGACAGTCATTTCACAGGACGTCAAACAGAGGTATTTTTTATTTTTTCTTTAATACATTTCCTTTTTTATATACTATAATTTATTTATTTCATTTCACAAAGGATAATTGGTGGAGTGTGAAAAACACTCATGGACTAATCTCCAAGAAGCTTCCATAATTACAAAAAATATCCATGGCATTGATATTGCCAGTCTGTTAACTTTGACTCAGTTTTGAAAAGAGGCGTTCTCTTTTCACAGTATCTCCACAGTTGAAATATTTTTCTTCAATGCAGGTAAATATCTGGTCAACATCATTTGTTCTCCTCAGCACTATAAAGCTAGCTTAACAGACCAAGAGATGAATTATTTTATCATTGAAGTCTGATATCGAACCTACAACAGTGTTATTCAAAGTATATGAATCTGCTAGCAAATAGACTGATTGCAAAGTCATAGAATCAGTCTCTCCTTCCTTGTTCATTAAGTGCATCCTTGAAATCTGATGGCATTGTTTTCTGTAAACTTGACTATTATTTCACTTAGAGCACATCAAACATGATTTCTTTTCACTTCCTATCAATTGCAGCCCTCTGCTAAAGATGAGGTGAGATTTTTTTGTATTTGTCAAATGACTGCAACAGGACTAGAGGAGTAGACTTTCAAATTAAATGTGTAAAGTATGCTTTGGAATTAGCTAGGACACTTCACAGCTGAAACATAACTTGAAGCTTTTTTCAAGATTCCTTCCAAACGATTTGCTCAAATTCAAGCCCTCACAAACACTGAAAGATTTTGTACTAACTACTAACAATCAGTGGAAAGTCAAACTGAATTAAGTCACCATTTACAGAGCAGGACAATAAAACAACACTTTCTAACACTTTGGAAATTTGAAGCTTTGAGTATAAATCAGGCCTTTAACAGCATATAGTCCTGGGATCTTACGTGGATCTGTTATCTGGAGAATGCCATACCCATCTCACAATCACTAACAGAATGACCCTTGAGCTCAAAGACATAGAGCTGTGACATGGTATGACAGAGCTATGACAGGTACACAGCAAGATCAGAAACCCCTGCTTTGGTCTATAACTAACAGTAGAGAAGTAGCTGGAAAACTCGTAGTCTGCAACTTAAAGGTTTTTAAATACCAGAGAGAAGCCAGACTGTAGACACTGATCTTCTCAAGTCACAAGTTACATGATAAAATCATTATCATGTAGTTTGAGTAATTCACTAAGGAAATTCTGATAGCCCTAACAACAATGACACAAAAAGTTAACACTTTGGCCTAGCTGAAATGTAATACTGACCGTTGAACAAATGGTAGTCTGAAGACATTTCAGAGATACTCTTTCAGTGACAGCAGGTTTTAGAGCACAAAGGCCTACTAATATTTTCTTTTGGTGAAAGAAATTCTTCCACTGAACACTGCTTAAAAAAAAATACTCCTACTAAATTCACCAGATTTTAAAGTTGCAAATAAAACTCCAACACTTAATGGTGAATAAGGCTTTGTGCTATCTAGCTACTTACATTAAAATAGTTTCCTGTGAGTAGCATAGTCCTGACGAAAACTGAAAAATTTAAATGAACTTGTACTACACTTATTTCACAATGTATTTAAGTGTTTTTCCTCACTCAGCACAGTATTTCTGTACTTCAGTAATTGAGCTAGAAATCAACTTACCCTATGTTTTTCCTTTACTTTCTTCCTGTATTCTTCTTTGTCAAATTTGTCTTCTTCACGCAGTATTTCTTTCGCTTTATCTAGGTTGATACCACTGGCATCCTCTTCCTCATCTCCTTGTGCCAAATTGGATTTCTGCACAGGTGGCCACTGCTGCACTAACTGAATTAGAGATGCCAGCAAGAAAAATAATGGTTAGAATGATTTTTTCCACATCACACTTTTTGTTGCCTAAATATTACAATACATTATTTGTCCAGACTAAATAAAAAGATCATCTGCAAAGGAAACAAATTAATGAACCTTAATTTACATCACAATCAGTTTAAAATTACTATTTTAAAGTAGTGTCTCTATTAATACACATTACTGTTTAGTGACTTCACTTGAATCTCTTCTGTTATTTTGTCCTCTTTCCTGATTAGAACAAGTAATTTCTAATACTGCTAGTCATTTGGGGAAAAACAAAACTACTTGTTCTCAAGAAATTACTCTCAGAAAAAAAAATGTGAGTAAATCTAAACAGTACCTTTCATGTAAACAATCAGCATTCTGACATATTAACCAAGACAAAAATTAGACAACCTTTATTCAAGAGTACACAAAAAAAACATGACTGACTCATGTTTTGAGGGAAGCAAGGGGAACAGATATGGAAGGGTTTTTTTGATTATTGTACTAGGACAGTATTAGAAATACAGTATTGTATGATGATTCATGCTGATGAAATGTTTGATGGACGACACACTGAACACATTCAGCTTCCCTTAAATATTTGAAACTCTAAATTCAAGACTACACATTCACCAAAAAATATCCACATCTGTCTTATGACCTAGTACCTTATACCATGTGGTATGAGCACACACTTTAAAAGGAAAGCCTTTGCAAAATCATTCTTGCTCACAGATTGGTAGAGTACTAAATCTTGACATGAAAGTACATGGCAGACAATACAGAATGCCTTTCAGTACAAATGCAAAACCAAACACATTTAGGACTCCCTAATGCACACAGGTTGTTTATTTAACAGGTCAGATAAATCCAACCCATTGCTGCAACATCCTTTTGTAAAACTGAGTTTGTGTAGGTATATTTTCTAGAAAGATACATTTTTAGAGGACTTTATCAAAAAGTAGGAAGTGGAATAGAATAGTAAAATTTTAAAGTACAATTTTACACAGCTCGTGTAGAAAAAAAAACAAGAACAACATCCATAGATGCAAATTCTGAGTTTCCTTAAATGTTACCCCTTTTCTACAGTAGTGCTTTTCAAACTAGAATCTTTGTGATTATTTTTCTCTCCATCCTTGCTCCATCGCATAAATACCTAAAACATTTGCATATGAATTTTAAGTTGACACAACAGCTTCTGTATATCTAAAAATATCTGACATTGTAGTTTTCGGTCAATGGGGCAACCTCTACAACCTTTTACATTCTCTCTAATGTTAGTAATTATGCATATGGCTACACTCCCTTCACCTGCAATATAAAATGCTTAATCTAGTCAGAAAAAAAAAAAATTATATACTTGTAAAGGTGACCTCTCAGTTTATGCCTTACTGAAATTGTTATAAAGAGAAAAAAAAAACCAAAAAAACCCAAACACATCCTACTTTTCATCTTATCTGCTGGAAACAGAAAAACAACATACACAGCATCCGAAGCTGTGAAATCAAATGATAGAAAAGTTCATGGAATATGGATACTTGCTAGTGAGGTTATTTCCACAAGGAAACCCTAGACTAGCATCCACAATAGCTCCTTTCAGTATAAAGTCAATATTTTTTTCCACTGTTCTATTAAAAGAACAAATCAAATAACTGGCAAATTTCCAAGTACTACTACGTCAGTACCAGTAGGCCAAAATTTGCTACTTCTTGAGCTTTTCTAACAAAACTTTTAATCTAGAAATGGTGAATGCTGGGAAGAAAACCAGGGTCTTCTTGTAATTCCAGTACATTAACTCAAGACTTTGGAGAGCTTTGGCAAACAGCTACAGGAAAATTGTTTTACATTTCTGTAAGAAAAAAACAAACGTGCTCTTTATTCCACCTGAAATTGAAGATAATAGGCAGAAAAAAGATACAGCTCTGTACATCCACTTACAGCTCTCATACAAGTATCTTACACATACAAAGATGAAAAGAGGTCAGTGCTCAACATTCCTCTTTTTCCCAATGAAACTGAATTCTAAATGGAAGCTGAACACTTTTGCAAAATGTAAGCCAATTACAAATACCACACATTTTTTACAAGTGTCTTTTTATACAGGTATAAAGTACATCTATGACTTTACAGAAACTACAACTTCAATTCCCACCAAAATGCAATTACTTTTAAGTGATCTTACCTCTCCATCTTCAGTAAAAACTATTTTTGTGTTAACTTTAAATTTCTTCTTCAATATTTTTTTGGCTTCTTGGGTCTTAGTTGTCTTTTTCTTCATCTTTGATTTCGACGTGGCCTGCATAAAAGAAAGTAAGTTTTCCTATGTTTTTTACTAGTCATAGAGTATATATTTCAAACTTTCCTGAAAGTAATTAGATGTATTAAAATTTAATTCCTAAAACGTGTAAGACTAATTTCCAGTAAAAATCAGCCAGCAAACCTTGTCATGAAAGCGTTTGAAGCAGGCCATATAATCAGAAATTCATTTACTCTGATAAAAAATTTAGTATAATTTAAATCCTGTCAGCACCAGGACACCTGGCCCATTCAGATCTCACTAAACTTTAAGGGACAAGGACACTAGATTCATCAGCTTATGCTTCTAGAAAGCCTCATCAGACAAGAAATACAGTATAAATGACTTGAAGCCATTAACTACAACTGATCAGATACTAATTTCATCTCACTTGTCATCACACTGTCCCCAGGCACTGCAATAAACCAGTTTGAGCTATCTCTGTGTCAATAATGCCACAAGTGGCCACACAAGAATATTCCTACCTCATGACTTTTGTCTCTTGCAGAACATCCAGTAGGTGATTACCAAACTTAGGAAAGTACCATTTAAATATCGCAAAAGTTACTAGCATCATAAAAGAAAGTAGGGAAAAGAAAGGGAAAAGAGACACCAGAGCAACCAGTGAATGAATCCACAGAAATCCACAGGAATTGTGAAATCTGCAGATGGCCTATATAAGTTTCCCCAAGGCACTCATATGGTAGCAACATCACGGAACTAAAGAATGTGGAGATCCACCACCCCCAACTCCTCTTCCGAGAACTCTCCTTTCAAAAACAAAGATGTGTTCCAACATCTACCAGGGCACAATACACAGAGGACATTTTAAGCAGTAACTGACATTGTAAAATCTATTTTATAGGAAAAAATGTTCTGAAGGAATATGTGGAGACTCCATAGAAGGCCCACAACTCATTCATCATCCCTTAAAGACTGCAATCTCTCCACTACCCAGGAAAAAGTGCCTGAAAAACAATCACTAAACTGTCTAAACTTCTAATAAATAACAGAAAGCAGTCAAAGCACCCAGAAAGAAAAAGGAAAAACTGAACTTTTTCTCACTTTCATATTTTATTTTGGCCATTTTAATCAGTTTTCATGTTCTATACAAAATCCACTATAAAAGGAAGCAAAAAAACATTAACTCAGAAAGTCACTGTCACTATGGTCAGCACACTAATGCACTGAAATATGAACTATAAAAGAGAAAAATTACAGTCCTTCTAACAGGAAAAATGGCTTGTGACAGCTACTGCACTGTGATATCAAGTAATGACCATATCTATTATAGAAAATAGTAACTGTAGCAGCACTTTTGTCCTCAGTATTGTCAAACAATTTTTGCTGCACTTTGCAGCTAGCACTGGTTAGGTACATCTATAACAGCCCAGAAAGCTGCGCTACTCCCTCATTACTGCTGCTTATCCTACAAACAGAAATTGTTTCAGAATCTGCATTACCATAAAACCCTTACCTCAAAATACAGACTACTTAGTAAAACAACAGGAGCTGTCCAGAGGAAGAATTTAAAGAGAGATGTATTTCAAGGTGAATACTATTCACTACCACAGCATTTTCTTTCAGCAGCTGCTTTTGGTTTTCTTTTTTTATTAAACAGTCCTTTATTTCTGGACTGCCAATATTATTGGTATCAGCATAACATGCTACTATAAAAAAAAAATACTGTAAGATTGAAATTGGTACAACAGTATTTTGCAAAATTATATTTAACTGTGAATTTCAGCTGTTTACATTTCTTGGTTTAAAAGGTTTTCCCAGCTAAGAAACACAAATATCCAATGAGCTGTCTTTACATGCACACATAGGCAACATTTCCAGTTGTACCTTGTTCCCCCTCCTTCCTCTGAGTTTGATACTGCCAAGTTGTGTGGGAGAAAATGGAACAGTGCAAATTTCCAAACAAATAGAAGGAACAAGAGGAGGAGAAGAAAAAAATGGGAATCTAAACTCCCTCATTATAGATTCAAAAAGCATAGTGTAAGGTCAGTGGGTGAATTTGGTAGATTTATAATATTGCTTGTGTAGCATTACACAAAGGGATTAAAATTTTAAAAAACCTGCAGAAAAAAGCATGAGTATAAAACACTACACACTCTCTAGATAATTAAACTGTGGGTTTTACTAGGATTCTGCATTGGGTTTTCATGGCCAGCTTTTGGTACAGGGGGGGACTACAAGGGTGGCTTCTGTGAGAAGCTGCCAGAAGCTTTCCTCATGTCCAGCAGGGTCAATGCCAGCTGGCTCCAAGATGAATGTGTTGCTGGCCAAGGCTGGGCCCATCAGAAGCGATGGTAAAGCCTCTGTGATAACATATTTAAGAAGAAGAGAAAAAAAATTACGGCACAGATGTAACTGTAGCCAGAGAAGAGCAGCGAGAACATGTGGGAGGAACAGCCCTGCAGACACCAAGGTCAAAGCTGAAGGAGGGGCAGGAGGTGCTCCAGGCACCAGAGCAGAGATTCCCCTGCAGCCCCTGGCACAGCCCCTGGTGACGCAGTCGTGCCCCTGCAGCCCCTGGAGGACCATGGAGATGCAGAAATCCACCTGGAGCCCATGGAGGAGATCCACACCAGAGCAGGGGGATGCCTGACAGAGGGCTGGGAACCCATGGGAGGCCAGGAACAGGCTCCTGGCAGGGAGCTGCAGATCCATGGAGAGAGGAGCCCAT